GCAACGTAAATCGATTTATCCAAAATTCTAATGCCTAATATGAATACATTCACAAGCACCATCTTGGCGAATCTTGAGTTTTGAGAAGCTCTAGCTCTCACTAAATTGCTTTTATTGAAAATAATTTTGAGCACGCAGATTTTTATTTATATATTTTGATTATAGAGGGGAATAAGAAAAGTAGGATTTTATAGCTATAAAGTCTTAAATAAATATGTTTATTATACACACACTATAATGGTCTTAAATAAATACATTTATTATATAGTGTGTACTAACACAAAGTAACTATGCATCTTTTTGCTCATTTATTTACATTAATAATTGGAAGAATAGCTATTTCTCAATCACTTTCAATTATGGATTGAATTTATTATTTTCAATAGAATTGTTTAGGAATGCAATATTATTTTTAATATGTAATATTAGGTTTTAAAAAATTTAACCGTATTAGTAATATTCTTTTAATAATTTTATATATTAATATTAATTGATGTAATAAAATACGCCATATTAATTATATATGTAGTATTATCATAATTTCTTTTAATGATATGTAATAATGTTTTTATGAATTATGTACTAATAATTAGTAATAATTGTGTTTAGTGAACATTAATTGATTAAGTTTTTTAGAGCAATATTAATTATTAATTATCTCATTTAGAGGAAATAAATTGAATCATTTGGTATTTCTAATTGACCTTTGTATTCCGTAAGTAATTATATATGTGGTATTATTATAATTTCTTTTAATTGTATGTAATAATATTTTTATTAATTGTGTACTAATGTTTAGTAATAATTGTGTTTAGCGAAAATTAATTGAATTATTTTTAAAGCAATAATAATTATTAATTATGTTATTTAAATGAAATAAATTGAATCATTTGGTATAATGTAGTTAACATTTGGTATTTCGTAGTGAATTATATATAATTGTGTACTTATAATTAGTAATAATTGTGTTTAGTGAAAATTAATTATCTTAATTCTTGAAAGCAATAATAATTATTAATTATCTTATTTAGATGTAATAAACAGAATCATTTGGCATTCCCTTTTTATCTAAACTTAGATATTCATATGTAATTGTTGATTAAAACAGTTTTTAAATAAGGGCAAATAATAAATGTAATATATTAATACAACCTTTCAATTATTGTTATTTTTTTCTTTTTGTAAACCATGAGGATATATTGGGCATATATGTAAATATGTAAGGGTAAAAGTGGTATTTAAAAGTTTATCCACAACCACCACTTTTAATATATTGTAGATTATGGGGTTGTTTTACAAAGTTTTTTTTTTTTTAAAAAAAAATTAGTATATTTTAATAAATGTTAATGAAATATGTGGTTGAAAAGTTGATAAAATTTTTGATCAGGAAATGTGTGTTTTGAATTAATTGTTGATTTTAATATTAATTTTTTAGTAATTTTTTAAGCTAAGCACTAATTATATCAGTACAAATTATAAAAGAAAAATCTTCATTTTGTTCTAAGCAACGAGTACTTTTCTCAAAAACATGATCCTTCGTATGCTACTAATGTTTATTTGAAAATGTGATTTTAATGGAATCTTGATTTTTTTTTTTGAATTTTATGGGATCATAATCTTCGTAGAACTGTTCAGAATTTTCATTTTAGCTCTTGTTTGGCAAGAATTAAAATCAAAATTTCAATAGACATTGATAAAAATTGATGAAATGTGTGGTTGGAAAGTTGTGGACTCCATTAAAATTAATTGCTGACTTTAACTTAAATTAAAATCTAAATTTTAATTTTTACCAAACGGGGGGCCGATTTCATATATGGAGATTTGTCTTTGGTCTTCCAAATTGACATTTCGTATGGTGAAAAGATTATAAAGCTTGTCAACATTCCATAGAGGTTAGGAAGTCACCTCTACAATCACCACGTCCGTGAATCAAGCTTTATACTATCATGGCCAAATTGATCTCGATTAATGAAAGCCAATTCAGAAGGACGAAGTTATTATCGATATAACTTCTATTGATAAAGAGGGTGTGACATTCTATTTAGAAGGTCATTTTTGAAAATATAAATGGATATGAAATCGACAAGAATAAGAATATGAATGAAATCTTGTTTCTATTCTTATATAAAATTTGACGAAGTTAATTAAATAAAGATTCTAGTTTTGATGTAATTAGCACTTTAATGTTCCCAATCTTTAATTGATACTTGTTTAAAGCATTTGTGATCAAAGTGATTGCAATGTTTCTAGATATTTAAATTTATTTTTAAGTCAAAAATTTATTTGGTGTAGCTAAAAATCAGATTTTCAGACGCTCTTTGGGCTCTATTAAAATTTTGATGCATTTTTCGCTCTCTTCTTTTCAACTACACATTTTACAATAAAATAATTTTACACGTAAATTCAAATTTTTCCTTCTTTTATAAATCATACATTTTTCAAAAAATCATTATTTTGAAATACATTTTTTCCAAAAATTGATTTTAATGAAGCCCAAACAAGGGTTTAGTAAATTTTGATAAAAATGATGTAATGTTATGATTGAAAAATTGATAAAAATTGTGTGTATTATAAATTAACTTTAAATAAATAATATCAATTATTGTTTTGAATTAAATTTTTATCAAAATTTTAAATCTCAAAGAGAGAGAGAGAGAGAGAGAGGATCAATGGAAAGAAACAGTTATTGGTCCCGAAGTGTCAACTTCGACGCGAAAAAATTCCCGTAAAATCCATACAGTTAACACTTCGTGTCGTCGCCCCCTTTGCCAACATTTCGCCTGTGATTGAAAACCCTAAATTGCATCGTAATCTTGATCCTGATTCACTATCCCCATTAAAAAACTACTCCATTTCTTCGTTCAATCTTTGTTAATGGACGGTGTTTCGAGATTCGAGAACACTAAGCTTCTGAGCTAACAAGGCAGCAATGCAGCACGATGACGCAGCGGCGAAACCGCTGCCCCCTTTTATCCTCGATCGGTTCAGGGCCATGGTGAAGGAGAGAGAGGAAGAACTTAGGGTTTACTGTTATGCCAGCGACGACGCCGTTTCTCCCTTGAGCACTGATGAAATTGTTCGGCTTTATGAGATTGTGCTATCGGAGCTCACCTTCAATTCCAAGCCCATAATCACTGATCTGACGATAATTGCAGGAGAGTATAGATCGCACGGTGAGAGCATCGCAGATGCTATTTGCGCTAGGATTATTGAGGTATACCATCCGGGGTATTTTGGAATTCTAGACCGGTTTTGTAGTTCTTGACATCTTGTAATTTCTGATTTAATCATTTCAAGTGTGTTGTTGATTAGTCTCGCTGTAGTGTTGAAAGTGAAATAAGATTGAATTTCTCTCTCTATCTCTCTCTCTCTCTCTCTCTCTCTCTCTCTCTCTCTCTTGTTTGTTTTTTCTTTCTTGTTGAGTTGATTACAAGCAAAACGGGCTATTGAATGCATGAGAATGTCATACTGTCTGGCAGCATGGAATTTGACTGCCCATTTTGATTTTGTTTTTATTAGTTGCTGTGTGGGATGTGATGCTTAGGACCGTGATGTTAAGGCTGCAGACCTGGATGGTTTATGAATTAGGCACTGTCACTCGTTTAATAGCTGACCCGGTCTGCACAATTTATAGCCTCGATGATCCTATTTTTGAGCGAAATCTAAGATATTAGTTTCTGTAAGAATTCTTTTTTAAGATATTTATTGTAATAATTGTTGTATTTCAATAATTATTGCTGTGTTCCTTTCCCTCTTTTCTGGGTATTAGCTACACATTTGGATATGTACTGTTTGGAGGTTAATGTTTTTGTGGACTTCACAAGTTTACTGTTTTTATGTTTCATCCTCTGATTGTCTTTTCCAGGTTCCAGCTAAGCAAAAGCTGCCTTCTTTATATCTTTTGGATAGCATTGTAAAGAATATTGGCGGTGAATATGTTAAGTATTTCTCTGCCCGCTTGCCTGAGGTGAGTAAATTAATTGTGGGGGTGGTAGTGCAGGCTCATTATATATGTTACCTTTACCTTAAATGGTTCTGATATGTCTATGATTTCTCATTTAAATTGAATTGCAAAAAGGTTTTCTGTGAGGCCTATGCACAAGTCCACCCCAACATGCATCCTGTAATGCACCGTCTTTTTAATACCTGGTCAACGGTGTTCCCAACATCAGTACTTAGAAAGATTGAGGCACAGTTGCAAATTTTGCCTTCTGCGAACCATCAGTCTTCCGATGTGACTCTCTTGAGAGCTTCTGAGTCTCCACAGCCCACACATGGCATACATGTTAATCCAAAATATTTGGAATCCCAGCATCACTTTGGACGTTCTACTGTAGATAATGTAAGCTTTTAGTGAAGTCTTTATTGTTTTTACTATTTACCACTCTTTTTCCTTTCTCTGGTGAATATCAGCTTAACCATTGTTGTAGAATAGTTATTTTCAGTTTTTATGTTGTAAATGCTATTTCATTTTATATTATCAGTCTAACTACCTTCAAAAATATAGATAGCAATGTTAGGATATTATCATTGTTTTCCTTCCTTGTTGGTTTAGTAAGCTAGCAGTTGTACTGATTTGTTAATAAATACTATCGGGGGACAAAGAAAATTCGCAAAACGTTGAATAAATTCTGAACTGTATTATTATTTGGGAATGGAAATGGAGCAGTTGAGCCTTCTCCGTTGCCGGATCAAGGCTAAATCTTTTTCTCGTATTTTTCTTTTGTGTGCCTTGTGGCCTCATGTATGATTCTTGGGAGATTTTAGGACCACTATCATTAGTTTGTTGCTTTGGTGGTTTATTTTTACATACTCTAAATAGTTATGTGGTACAAATTATTTATCTGAGACAATCTATCAATGATAGGCAGTGTCATCATATATGTAGGCTGATACAACACCATAAAAATTCAAGAGGCGTAAAATACTAGAAAAGTTCTGACGCTAAATGTCTAGGATGCGTCAACTCAGAAAAGATATATATTTGATATAGGCCTGTGAAAGATTTAATAATTCCAAATTAAGAAGGTATTATCACCTATTATGACAAGGAGGGAGCAATTTATTGGACACATTCTGGAGGGTTGGATATGGTTTCGTCCTAGAGGGTGTGACAGTGTTGCTTTGGGAACATTCATTTTCAGAAGTGTCCCCTGCACCATAGGTCATTAGCGAACGAGTCTTAGTTGATGTGACTCTATGATGTTAGGCAGTTGTGAATATCATTTAATTGAGTACATAAGAGCTAAGTATTAGATGGAGACCAATTGTGGAAAATAAATTGTTGCACCTAATAAAGGAGCTATTGTAGTGTGGATCCTGACTTATTTTTTCATTTTCTTCAATATTATTTATTACTGTACTCCATCGACCTCCAATTTTAATGTATCTGCTATTTTGATCATGTATGGACTTTAGTTATCACCTTTTCCTTGGGCGTTTTCATGCCGCCTCACTCCCTTTTAAGATCCTTCCTTAAATTTTTGTGCTATTTTTGTCTAATTTATCCAATGTTCTTGGCTGCCTTGATCTTCCTGTAAAGCAGTGATGGAACAAATGGAGTGGCGCGAAAGTATTTATGTAGTTGACCCCAATTCAATTGAGTGTAACGCTTATTTGTGTTGATCAATGTTGTTTGAGTGGTGCGAAAGTATATATGTAGTTGACTCCAAATTTATTGAGTAGGCTTAGTTTGCATTGATCAATATTCTTGGCAATTTTTTGTGAGTATACTTGTTTATTGATGAAATAACTGTTTTTTTTTAAAGCAAATATTGGAATTTTTAAATATAAGATTCATGTTTTCTGAGTGCTTTATATAGTGGCTTGTTAAGAACTAGTGAAAATATGTTTTATTGTAGATTACCTGTGGTAGAACTTCAATACTGATATAATCTTGTTAGAAACCTTCCATGGTAGCAGTATGTTCCTCATAATGCCATTTTAATGGTTCTTCAGGTTGGAGCTGGAGGTCTAAGCTCCTCTACTTATGGAATTGAGCATGACAGGTCATTGTCACCATCATTTGATGAGTTTGATGCGGATAGTCTTCGCAGGCTACCTGCTGAAAGAGCATCTCCATCTCATTCTGGCTTTGGTTATGGGCTTCGCAGAGTGATGGGTACAGATGAAAAGGCAAGTGAATGGCGAGCAAGAAATTGGCGTGATGCTTCCAGTCACCGGCTTAAAAATTCAGCTGTATACAGTTCTGAAAATGGAGTTGATCTTCGAGGACCTAGAGCTTTGATTGATGCTTATGGAATTGATGAAAGGGAAAAAAAATTCAACTTTGGACATCCAAATTTGGATGTAAATGGTGTTGACGAGAAGGCATCTATCAAGACATGGAAAAACACGGAAGAGGAAGAATTTGATTGGGAAGACATGAGTCCTACTTTAGGAGATCGAAGTCGGTATAATGAATTACATTCATCATATGTTCCATTAAATGGTAACTTGATGGAAAGACACTGCTTTACTACACACCATTCTGCACCTTTTGCGACTCATTCCAGAAGCAGCTGGTCTAAGATCCAATTTTCTTCAGCTGCTGATTCTTCTGTCATTAAGGATGTGCCCCATAGTGTATGGTTAATATACTTTGTCTTTCTCCATCCTAATATTCTTTTGGCACTGCCATGAGATAATCTTGTCGTTGATGATGTTTCACTATATGTATTCTAACATTTAAAGATTTGGGCGTAATTACATGCGATAGCTACCTGCATGTCAAATGGTTATTTATGTGGATGAGGAAAGTTATTTATTGCTTTATGAGCTTCTCTTGATCTGATCAGTTCTTTCCATATGTGCAGCTTTTTCTTGTCCAGGGGTTTCAGTTCTTTCCATATGCGCAGCTTTTTCTTGTCCAGGGGTTTTCAAGCTACCTTTACTCTCTTACAAACGTTGCAATCTTCTATCAAATAGAATTTCAACATTGCTAACCTCGTTTGGCTAATTTATAATAGTAAGAGGAATAGTAGTTGGTCCACAAAATGTGTGGATAATAACGAGTAGTAGTTATGAATGTGTGACTGAAATTTATATTTGACTTTGAATAGATTTATAAACCAATATATAAATTGTATCCAAATGGAGGCTTAGTCTATTATTTACCTTTATCGGTATCAGACTATGACCTAACATGCATGGATATCTTGACTCGGGCTTCTTAAAACATTATATTTTTTGATGCGGGGTTTTCTTGAAACTACTGAAGGTACAATCATTTCTTTTGTTTTTCTTGGCAGTCTGGTCATGGAGTAATTAGCAAGATTACTGGACTCTGCACACCCACAAGTCAGATTAATGCTTCTAGTTCTGCTCGCGAATCCTGGAATTCTCCTCACCATTTTAATTCCAAAGGAGGTGGTTCCTATTCTGGAACTGTAAGTTTTTCCTCAGCTGGTGAGGTAAAGCCCCCAATAATGGGCAATTTCCCCAGTAAAGACGGAAGATTTAGCAGGCCCCCGGATGTGGGGTCCACGATCAGTTCTATGTTTGACTCTCTATCTCCAGAGATTCCATCAGCTGATGCACCAGCTTTAACAGAATCATGGCTTCCTGCAAAGTTGCAGAGTTCATATCCACTGCCTTCACTTGCTGCTCTTCCCTCGCAAATGCACAGTAGAGGTCAGTTTAACACTATGAGTTCTGGTAATGTCATAGTTGATCAAGGTCTGAACAAGTCAATTCACTCTAAGCAGCATTTCAGTGGCACTAATAGCATGCCACGAAGCAAATTGCCTCAATTTCCTATTCAGTGCCCTGGATCATTCCCCTTGAATCTGCAAAGTTCTGCACAAGCTACTCTAGTACAGCCACATTTATTAAAGTCTCAGGGGGTTCGGCTAAATCTGCCTCTTCCTTCTTCAGCGTCAGGCCTTTCACATGCAACAATACAACCTCTGAATCATGGATACGCTGCACAGCGGCATGATCCTCCTAGTGATACTGCCTTGCGTGATATAGTTTTGGGTTCGCAGTCATCTTTGCCGATCAATAATGCTCCATATACAATTCATTCACTTGGGATGCCATTAGCATCTTTACCGCGAGGGCCGCCTCTTGGCACAGCACAATCATTACCTATTCAACAAAATATAGGTCTAGTTGCTCCTAGTCCCTCAGCTGGGGCTGCACTTTCTGGTTTAATTAGTTCTCTGGTAGCTCAAGGTTTGATATCATTATCAAAACAGGTATGCATTTAGGTCCTCTATCATGTCATTCACTTCTTGACTTGAGCACTTAATGAGGGAGAATTATTCACAGCCATCTGATACAATGTATAGGGTTCAGTGGGTGTGGAGTTTGATCCAGACCTTCTTAAGGTGCGTCATGAATCTTCTATAACTGCTTTATATGCTGATCTTCCAAGACAATGCAAAACATGTGGCCATCGATTCAAAAGCCAAGAAGAGCACAGCAAGCATATGGATTGGCACGTGAACAAGAACCGAACATTAAAAAATCGTAAGACGAAGCCTTCTCCCAGCTGGTTTGTGAGCATTAGTATGTGGCTTCATGGTGCAGAGGCATTGGGAACGGAAGCAGTTCCAGGATTTTTGCCTGCTGAAAACATTGTGGAAAAGAAGTATGAAGAAATGGTGGTTCCTGCTGATGAGAATCAGACTGCTTGTGCTTTGTGTGGTGAGACTTTCGATGATTTTTATAGTGATGAGATGGATGAGTGGATGTACAAGGGGGCTGTATACATGAATTCACTGGCTGGGTCATCAGAAGGGATTAACAGGTCTCAGTTAGGTCCTATAGTGCATGCTAAATGCATGTCTGACTCTCGTGTGATTCCTGCTGAAGATGTTACAAAAGATGAAGGGGTATGTTGTTTTCCACTATTCTCTTTTATTTCTCCTTTATACTAATTCGCTTTGTTCAATTTTTTGTTTCTAAGATAAATGTTTTTCTTTGTTCTTGATATTATCTAGCGCTTAAAAGATATGGATTGATCATGTTGGTCTTGAATTGGCCCTTTTGGTATTATTAATGAGACGATGCATATAATTTTCCAACTTGGAATTATTCTTCATGTTTCCCTTAGGACTTGACTAGTGATTTTGACACTTCAAGCCATGTAACATAGAGAACAAAACAACTTTTTTTTTTTGGACATTAGATATTACAGATTCAACGAGATTTATGTTGGCATTACCCTAATATGGGGTGCATGCTCACTTTGTGGGAGTAGCCCACTGCCTGAGTAGCTATTGCTAAAAAAATATATTTCTCGTAGACCCACATTTAGGAATCCATTGCCCCACCAACTAAAATAATACTTCTTTTTTTGGTTACTTTATATATATATTTTGGTTTGTTTGCATACTTTGAATTGTTCTATTATAAATTATGAAGATAATTTATGATTTAATATGGGCTTATGCCTCAAAACACCTCACATCATGAAGGAACTATGCCTCTACCATATTACGTCTTTTGAAACATTGCAACATATAGTAGCAATAAAGAAATGGTTCTTTATATTGATCATATCTCATCTAATATCATTATAAATTTGCAGAGTTTCTCTTCGATTTAAAGTTCATTTTGAATATCTTTAATACTTCCTCCGTCCCACAAAGATAGATTTGCTTCCATTTTGACATTTTCACTTACATTTTTCCTAATGTACCCCTACATTGAATAATTGTTCAAATAGGAGTAGTTCATATTTGTTGATAACAAGTCACATTAAATAGAGACGTATTAGAATACTAAAAAATCAACTATATTCTAAATAAGGAAAGTGACTTATAATTTGGGACAAATAATTAAAAAAAAAAGAAGCAAGCCTATCTTAATGACAGATGGAGTAATATTTCTAGAATGGTGCGGTTTCTATTTTGAATTGAAAATTTTTTTTTGCAATAGTTGCCTTAAAATAAATATATCTTGCATATGTATCTAAGTATCTTGGTGAATTCTTGTAAGTAAACAAACTTGCATTTATATTGTTTATAATCTTGCCTTTCTGAATTAAATTCATAGGTGCTGATATTTGTTGTTTTGGTGTTAACTATTTTTTTATGGAACCATTGGGTTTATTCAAACATTACCATGTTGATTGCCAACATTTTATACTGTAGGGAATTAAAGAAAAAGTTTCCTATTTTTTCTTTATTTATAAGATTTACATGTGGACATTGTTTCATTTAATTCTGGTTATAAGAGAACCGAATCGAACTATGAATTAATATGTTTTTTTTTTTGGATAATGGAACCAATGGTTATTTATTTATTTTTTATACAGAACCAAATCGGAATCGGATCATTCGGTTTTGGTTTGGTTTCGTTTGATTCTAGTTCCATTACTTAAATTTTCAAGTGATAAATGCAAATTAAAATCAATCATCATATTCATGAGTTAGTAATATATACCTAAATAAAAAAATAAACATCAAACATTCAGCAAATGTAAATGTAGCCGTGGTGTAGGAGTGCGAGTGTTTGTCTAAAATCGAAAAGGAGAAAAATGAATTAGATTATAGGTCTAGGGTTTGACCGCTTTGCTTGATAGATGATAAGGTAAAATGTAATGGTAAATGACTTTTTTGTCCATTTCGCACTTGTAATTTTTAAAGTTGGATTTTTGGTGTAATTCACTGATTTATAAAAAGAAAAAAAAAATATAAAAACAATAAAATTTGAGTTCAGTTCTTGGTTCTAGAACCATGACCAAATGGTTCTTGGTTCTAAGAATCAGAACCAATAATTTTCTTTTTGTAAAATCGAACCGAACCTAACCGAACTGAACTGCTCAATTTGGTTTGGTTCTTGTTTGGTCTTGTCATTTTGTCCACCTCTAAGATCTAATATCATCCTCATTTGGGCTTCATTTTTTCAAAAATACGTTTTTCTCTAAACTTATTTTCAACCACACATTATTCCATAAAATAATGTCATGTAAATACAAAACTTTTACCTATGTTTAAACCACACATTCTAAAAAAAAAACTATTTCAAAACACCTTTTCCCCCAAAATCTCATTTTAATTGAGCCCAAACAGGGGCATCATATAGTGGACATTTTTATGTTGGAAGTTTCCTGGAGTTTGGGTTCCTCAATGGAATTTTTCAGAGAATGTTTCCCCTATTTGGCAGGGTGGCACACGTGGATTCTTTTGGGATTTTATTGACATTCAGCCCGTTCTTAGCCTGTGACATTTCTGTGCGCACAGAGTTCTATTTATTTTCTTCATTTTATCTGTAAGCTGATTTTCACCAAGTTCAAGTCATGATGTTTAACAGTTAACTTTGCATTTTGCGTTGGATCCATGGTATCTATATGGAACTTGTAGTTACAATCAAACTGCAAGTTTGAATGCACTTAGCTCCCACTGTTGTAGTATCTCAAAACACAATGTTCACAAGGAAAACCATGAGATGCACATGAATCTATGTGAAAGCTGCATTAAGGAAACTTTCTTTCATTAATACCCAATAATCACTTTTTAATCTTAACGGAAAATTAACTATATACCAGTTAGTTTTTATGTTCTCATCTGGTTTTTATGCTTTCAGTTGAAGGGTCATGTAATGCCCGTTTTAGTTGGGAACTTTTTCAATATCAATTATCTGCCCTGTTTGTCATATTTACTACTATGTGCTTTCGGCAACTTGCCGACTTAAAAACTAATTCTTTTTTCCATTTTTTTATTTGCAGGAATTAACTGAAGAGGGTATTCAGAGGAAAAGAATGCGGAGTTAACTTGTTTGTGTCGGCTTTTGGTCACCTGTAACTTATAATTGAGTTTCTTCAAGTTATGTTCCATTTTTCTCATTTTCCTTCTTTCTTTAGTTTTCCTAGCCCGGCAGAATCTTGTCCATGTATATATGGTCAGATATATATAGTCAGAATCTTGAGAGAGATTTGTAGCTAACTCAGATAATTCGGTTGTGAACACTCATAGGTAGAATTGTTGTATGCGAAATGAAATTAAGCATAAATTGATTTTGTGAAGTTTTTGTTTGTTGATTGTTATGGTTAAATTTCAATTATAAATTTTAGTTTTTCTCCACACATTACAATAAAATTGAATTGTTACATCTAGGGTTGATTTTAGTAAAATTGACCGTGCATCATATAGTCTCTGAAGGAACGATACTTGAACTCACAAAAATATTGGTACTTATTACGATACCGTACGATAGCGATTTATGCCAACCTATATTATGAATTTGAAAAAAAAAATCGCAGCGTTCCCAATTCTGTTTGATCTCTTCCATTATTTATAAAACACAATATAGATATTCTACGTAAAATTGATAGACCTTTCTTATTTTTCTAGGTTTAGTATGAGTATATAAACCAGTTGGCATAATATTTAGATAATTTTTGGCATAAATTGAAACTTCTCAAAGAGGAACACATTATGGAGATGAAGTGCTTGCACAATGGTCCTCGTGTAAGCCACTTGTTTTGCAACTACTATATCATTTTCTTTAGAGCTACGGATTTTGACAGGATCTTACTAGGATTGTAAGTGTATGACGAAGCATTTGTACTAAAGATTCGCTTTGAGAAATTTGTAGCTATCTTTAGTCCTAATTAATGTTGACAGTCAGAACCGGGTCCTAACTTGGGGATCGCCTTAAGTTGGGTGGGATAAACGACATTTGTCTCAACTAAAAATAGGATAGGGTAAAAGGTTTGAGGGTGTGGCAATAGTTTTAGTAGATGTTGAGAGTTTCTGGTTGAAGTACTAATTCAGGCTATTCCTACTTATTTAATGACCAGGGACAACGTAGGAAAATTGATCAGGACTTTCTCAACTTCATATGGACAGTGTATGATAGTAGATGCGGAACTCAGGGCTACTCTTGATGTGATACTACTGGCTAGAAATTTTGGATTGTCAGATATTTGGGTTGAGGTAGACTCGACTGTGACCATTCACTGCATGACTAGAGGTAGCGGACCGTGGCATATCCAGATGATACTTTCCTTTGACAGAGATATGATTTTCCACATCTTCAGAGAGGGGAACCAAGTTGCATATGCACTTGCTACCGAGAGTTGACATCATTGTAGATACCAGAAATATGGACCAACCGACCTACCCACGACATATCAAGGCGTTTGTTCAGATTGACATATATAGTTTGTCCAACACTAGAGTTTAAATATTTGTATTTTGTTTTTACTTTTATTTTTACTTACACCTGTGCTTTTTGTAAGGGAAGTGATACTCTTTTTTTATTGCTATCTTATTATTCTTTAATTTTACTGTAAGTGAAGTAGTACTTCCTCATTTTTGGATTTTATTGATTTCATTTGTAACCACAGTATTCCTCCGTCACAAGTGATGACATATTAATAAAATCTCGAAGGTTTCGCCCTCCTTCCACAAAAAAAAAAAATTACTGTTATTAGTGTTTAATCGAGAAGAGTCCCCACATAAGATGTGAAAAATAGAAATTGTGCGAAATGTATTTATGCTCAAAGTCAGGGGAGAAAAAAATAATATACATGAAAAATGAGCTTCATTTATAGGTCCTAATATGCATTATTGGTTTGACTTTCGTTATTAGGGGAATAATCTTATTTAAGAGTAATATTTAGCATGTCATTTCTCACAAATGCAAGATTTAGAGTCTTGATCACAAGGAATTAATGACACTTAACACACATGAGCAACTTATACAATTTACTCTAATTAGATTAGAACTGAGTATGTGAGAAAGTTTACTAATCATTGATTATGTTTGTGGATGCTTTCAACTGCATCTTTGAGTTATTATATATTGTTGTTATATTTTCCTTCGTCATTTGTGATAAAAAGGGGGAGAATGACATTTTTGCATTGTAATTTTATTTGGAGAGTTTGCAGTAGGGGGAGATGATAGTATTGACATTTTTTCTTTTTTGAATGCTTAGCTTTTTTTAGTTTTGATGTTTTGCAATATTAATGTTTCACTTGGTATTTTGATTAATATTAGTATTACTTCTCAATCTAACTAGCATATTTATGATAGTTTAATTCAATTATTATATTTCTTGTGCTACGTGTTTTTATACTTGGTATTTGAGTTGTTGATTTCTGGAAATATGTTTCAAGGAATGCAAAAGACACATTCAAATTGAGTTTGGGTAGATTAGTTTGTTTTTACATCATTGACTTGTATTGTATAGTCTTGTCACAAAATGCCAATGGGGGAGATTGTTAGGATTTATGTTGTATTGACATTTTTTTAGACAAAACGATTATTATAAAATAATATGATTGTAATAAAAGAGCTGTAGAAGTTACAGAGTCTTTTTGATGGTTGTATAGATGAACTAGAAGTTTTGGATTCAAGTATGGAACAGGGAGAAGAGTCGTCGGATTTACGCTAACCAGTCGTTTAACTGATATTCGAGCAAAAAAAGCAGAATCATTGTCGCCCGCCTGTCGCCACTTATTGCTCGAGCGATAGATACAACTCTCGCTCGCCTGTCGTTCGAGCTACGGTGTTATAAGTGAAACCCTTGTTAGCAATTTTCAAAGGTTTTATCTTTTATACACTATCTAAATACCTCTTATTATAAATACCCCAACGCTCAGTACGTTTTTGTGTGTGGTTGTTCATTATTTTATATCCTCATTAAATCAATCCAAGATCTAAGAATACATTCAAATATTGAGTTTAAACTTTTGATTTTTGAGATCAATCAACTTTTATTGTCAATAGTGGAAGTGATTGGCATGGTCCCAAAGTTTTTACTCGGCTAAGGGTTTTCTCCGTCATCAAATCTTGTGTTATTTAATGCTCTAATTATTATTGTGGCAATTCAATAGATGAGAAAATTGACTTGATTTACTAAACATGTAGAACAATTAAAAAGTGACTTGTTACTTTTAATTGGTAAGTTTAATTCCGCATTATTCACCTATTAGATATTTTAGGGTCGAATTAGTAACTTTCGAAAATCACACTATAAGATGTCTTTTGCATCTCCAAAATAATTCTTTATGCGATTTTATGTTCTACAACATGACATTACAGCTAAATATCCTTTGGTTAATCTTAAGTTATAATATGTCGAAACCCCAAATGACATCTCTTAAAATTTAGTTAGTAAATGGTGAAAGATCATATCACAAATGAATATTAATTAAAGATTCATGAAGATTTCATACAATAGTTATAATGACAAAGACTCATCCACCACTTAATTTTCTTCATTTTTGGAATTGAATATGTGCCATAAACGGTTAGAGACACGTCCGTCAAACTATAGCTTTACTTTATGGTAGTGAGTGTTGGACATTGAAAGGACATGAGCATGAGCTGAAAATAGGTTAAACCGGACCTTTCAATAAATGAACCATTGGTTCCAAAAGCGTGGAGGAAAATGATTCATATAGTTGACCCTAAGTTAATTGGGAATTAGGGCTTAGGGTATGTGGGGACTATGAAGATGGGAGAAATTGAAATTTCGATGGAGATTGAAAAAGGAACGATCCTTGCAATTTGAAGAGAAAATGCTCTCGAATGGAATCTATTTTGTCCATGCCATCAATTTTTAACACCGTTAGTGACCATCTGCTACATGGACTATTTTGCCCAATTGGACGGATGGAATTAGATCGGGTGATGGATAGTTAAGTTGTTATAAAAGTAAGCAAGCAATTAGTAAGCTTTTATATTTTAGTGAGCAAGTAATAATCGAATGTAAATGTTGTTGATTAAATATTTAGCTAATTCGGCACAATGTTGCCAATTTTGGATGGGAAATTTCGTCATTTCTGCACAAATTAGCCTTTTTTCCCCTTTCCCTTTATTGGTTATATTAATGAATAATGCTAAGTGTACACAATTTTTTACACAATTTTTTACACCTCTCTCACATGGAAGGGGGCCCACACATAATAAAATAATCGTGGACCCCCCTTCATGTGAGAGAGGTGTAAAAGATTGTGTAAAAGTGTGTGTGTACATGTAGCATTACCCATAATATATTAATTGTAGAATTTTGGTATTTGTACATTATGGTTACACTTCCACTCACAGAATGACGTAGCATTTGTTAAAAAAAAAAAACAAAAAACAAAAATAGAGTGGTATAAAATACCGGCCCAAACCCTTTTCATTTTCAATTAGGCGCGATATCTTTTCCCCCAAATTTTGAGAAACCTTCAGTCGCGATCGACCAACCCATACTCTCCGGCTCCACCATCCAACCTCCCTGGAGCTGCATTGTAAATCTCAGGAGCTCATACGTCCACCGATATTAAGCTAAAGGTGACTAAGAATGCACGTCATTCCGAAACCACATTTCCACCCGACCCATCGTCATTCACTCGAAGAGACGATCGACAAAGATAACTACCTTTTTCCATCCTGGTTTGCTTGTGTAGTTTCTGATTATGTAAAATATGTAGTGTGTTAATAGATCATTGTCACACAAATTTAAAATCTTTCACTCTTCAAGACACTACAGTTCTACGCTCTGAAGATGAGAAATTAATTTGCATTTTATTCTTGTTAGGCTCTTGCTTCAGTTGTGTATGAGCGTTGTTTGCTTATTGCAAATGTTGCCCAGATTGTAAGACTGGATTGCATGATAACCCCCTATTAAAGCCGCCAAAATCTAAATTTTGTTTTTCTTCGTGAAGGACATGACTTCCTTCGTGAATGGTTCAAATTTACCAAACCGTGGATGCATAAGTAGAAGAGAAATGATAGTGACTAGATATCTTCTATTAATTGGAAATTAGTTTATTG